TCACACTGACCAGGTGACGCCCGTAAAGATGAGCGGGCATGAGAGGTTCTCAGCCTTGTGGGCCTGAGATTCTCAGCATCTGAACGAGGGCCAAGGTGAATCTTAAATACTAAACTAACTTTGGGTGGGCAGAGAAGGGGGTTGGGAAAGGGTCTAGGTAAGAATTCTAATTGGGGAGGTCAGGGAGATTGAATAGACAATGGGAATAGATAATGGAGGGAACAGGAAGGCAGAAGTTTGAAAGGCATCTGCACAAAATCAAGGTGGGGCCAGGACTTTCAAAAGGAGATAAAGGGAAGGCCTTTCTGGGGCCTATAGACAAGAGGGAGCCGATTAGGAAATTTGAAGGCTTAAGGGTTTTCTGGGTCCTGTAGACAAACAGGAGCCAGATTCTATTCAGGGCAAGGGTTGAAGGTGCATCTGAATAAGATCTAAAGGTAAGCTAGGGCTTTCAAGGGAGATGAGGGTCTGGGGCCTGTGAGTCAGATTCCCTTTGGGGCAAAGGGCGAAGATCTTGGCTTGGGCCCCGCCCCTATCATAATCCATCAAAAATTATATTCCTTGGACAGAGCACCCATGTGTAAGGGTATAGCTCTCCTTGTGGACAAAGGGACAGGAGGAGGATGAGCAAAAGGAAGAAAGAGAAGGAGAAGGAGAAGCCAGTTGGGTCCTGGGGGCGGCTACTACTCACAGATTGTTGTTCATCCTTCATTCACTGAATTAAATTTAAGTGAGGCAGGGCTATGTAAAGTCATCAGCCTCATTCTCTCCTCCAGAGTCTTCAAAGTCAAGTGGCAAGACATAAGTCAAGAGGACTGGTGATGGCCCAGGCAGCTTAGCCACAACATAAATATAGATCCATGTCCTGGGATTATAGGGACCATCTGATGTAACCCCTGCATTTTACAGAGGTGGAAACTGAGGTCCACAGAAGTTGTCAAGTGCCCAAGATCACCCAGGTAGTAAATAGCAAAGCTAGAATTTGAACCCAAATCCTCTGACTCACAGTTGTTTCCCCCACCCCTACATCATTACATTCACAAACTACAATTTGTTCAACTCTTCCCCAGTTAATGGGCAGCTGTTTTGTTTTCAGAGTTTTTGCTACCACAAACAAGTTCTACTATGAATATTTTGGGTAGGGACCTATATACTGAAAGGACATCTTTGACCTTTTTGGAGACTGATGTCCAGTAGTGGGACCAAAAGATCAAAGGGTATCAACTTTTCTCAAGTCCAAATGATTTTCCCCAAGAGTAAGACCAATTACATCGCTCCATCAATAGTGTTTTAGTCCTTTTGTTTTCCTATAGTCCCTCCAACATTGACTACTTTAGTCATTTTGCCAATTTGATTTGCATGAGATGAAACCTCCAAGTTGTTTTATTTTGTATATCTCTTATTATTTGTGATTTGAAACATTTTTAAATGGTTGTTGATAACATGTCTTGCTTCATTTGAAAAATTTTCCATATTTTTTGATCTCTTATCTATTGGGAAGTGATTCTTGGTCTTATATATTTGTGTAAGTTCACCTATGTATTTTGGATATCATACTGTTAGAGATTATGAAAAACTTTTTTCAGTATAATAATAATAATAACAATAATAATGATGATGATAACTAGTGTTTATATATACTGCCTACGTGCCAGGCATTGTGCTAAGTACTTCACAAATATGATCTCGTTGGATTCTCACAATGACCTTGGGAAGTAAACACTCGTTTGATTCCCATCGTACAGTTACAGAACTGGGGCAAACATAAGTGACTTGCCCCAAATCATGCACCTAGTAAGTGCTAGAAGCCAGCTTTGAACTGAAGCTTGTCCTGACTCTAGGCCCCTTGCTCTATCCATAGCATCACCCAGTTTACCCAGCAATCCTGCGCAGATAGTCCTTTCACAAGTAGTGGGTGTTCTTGGTTTTATGGAGCACAAACTTACTGGGTTTAATTGCTTACCTTGTCTTCCCTGTAGATAATTTCTTTTATGGACCTTCTCAAATGTAGACCATCCTTTGGACCATGCTATGACACTTACCATTGTCTTTTGGGGTCACCTGCAATTTTGATTCTTATGGGATTAAGGTATTTCATCAATGAAAGTCATCTAGCATCATTGGAGAACTCTTAAATTAGAGAGGAGTTTGGGATGTTTGAGAGCATTGCTTAGTTTCCCAAAGGACTTGCAGCCTTATCTTTTCCTATTCAATTTTGGCAATTCTTGAAACACAAATAACTATAATCCACAATAATAATTGTTAAGTGGAAAGAAAGTCACAAAGTGTTGTGGGAGGTCTGAGGGGGAAGGTCCTTAGGACAGGGAGATTGGGGTAGGCTTCACAAAGGATGTTGCTTTTAAACTGGACTCCAGAAACTTGGAGGGAATTCATGGTAGGGGGGAGGTGTTCCAAATGTTGAGAAGGGCTTGTGCCTAGCCATGTAAGTAAGGGAAGCTGGAGTCTTATGAGGTTGAGTTACTAGTACCCTCCACTACAAAGTGAGAATTGTACCCTGAAACAATACTGATCACAGAGTGTTATGAGGAATAAATAAATTATTATAATCTGTAGGAGTTCCACGAGGCGTCATATATTAGTCATCATCTAGCATTTATTAAACACCTACTATGTGCCAGGCACTGAGCTATGTGCTCGAGATAACAAAGAAAGGCAAAAAAACAGTCCTGGTCTCAAGGAGCTCCCAGTCTAATGGGGGAGACAAGGCTATGCAAAGAGAAAATAGCCAGGAGAAATTTGGGGTGATCTCAGAGGGAAGGCACTGAGCTTCAGGAGGGCTGGGAAAGGCTTCTGGCAGAAGGTGGGACTCTGGCTGAGGCCTGAAGGAAGCCAGGGAGCCCAGGAAGCAGGGATGAGGGTGGAGAGCTTTCCAGGCTTGGGGGACAAACAGCCCAGGAAACTCTGCTTCATAAATGCTGAGCTTCTTCAGTAATGCAGGCCTGAGTCTCCTCTCCCAGAAGACAGAACTATCTAGTACTTTCTTTGTCTTTTGGAAATTCTTGAGTGAAAGTTTTCATGAAGGTACCAGATGCAATTATCCTTATATGGCTCTTTGAGATCCCAGCTGGGGGACGTATAGAAAATACTATAAAGAAGAAATAGGGGGCAGCTAGGTGGCGCAGTGGATAGAGCACGGGCCCTGGAGACAGGAGGACCTGAGTTCAAATTCGGCCTCAGACATATAACACTTACTAGCTGTGTGACCCTGGGCAAGTCACTTAACCCCATTGCCTAGCCAAAAGAAGAAGAAGAAGAAGAAGAAGAAATAGGCAGTGTGGTTCAGCAGTAAGAGCCCTGGACTTGGAGTCAGAAGAAACCAGAGAGACCTGCGTTCAAGTAATGGCCCTGCCACTTGCTACTGGTTTGATTGATCTTAGACAAGACACCTCTCTTTCAGCCTCAGTTTCCTCTACAGTAAAACTGGGGGACTGGACTAAATGGTTTCTAAGTTCCCTTTAAGCTCTATCAGCAAAATAATTCTTGAACTTGTATATAGCCACCAAAGCGCACTGTAGATTTTCTCAACACAATCATTTATGAAGTGCCCAGATCTGTGCCCCTTCCCTTCATAGGGATTATAGTCTAATAGGGGGAGGAAACGAAACAGAAGTAACTGTCATTGATCAGTACGTTAGACATCTGCCAGACTGTATTACATGGTACACAGTACTCTCATTCTAAGCCCCTTCAAATCTGTGGAACTCTTTTCACAACTCCCTTCCCCACCATGGATTGGTAGCACAGATATTCTTCATAGTATGGGGAGGGCGGCTGAAGAACCTGCTTTCAGACTGTCCTATTCCTTCTCCTTTGATGGATTTACCTTGATGTTCAATGCTCTATACAAGTGGCAGAAGGCATGGTGATTTTGATTACCTGCCCTTAAGCTGACACCCTCAGAAAAACTTAGCTGGGAGTCTTAGTTTTGGCAATGGTGGTCATGCACATACTGTCCTGTGAACTCTTTCCTCCAGAGTCTTACCTTGTTTCTTTCAGAAAGCTTTAGATATATATGGGGAGGGGGAGGGCAGGTTGGAGAATGGGAAGCAGAGTGTAGGATCTTTTGAACAGGATGTGGGAAGTCATAGAATTTAGCCCTGAAAGGGACCCAAAAGGTCATCTAGTCCAGTTAGTCACAGGATCATAGAAGTAGAACTGGGAGGGATTTCTGAGGTCATCCAGTTTAATCTATTCATGTTAAAGATGAGGAAACTGGGCAAGTGACTTGGTCAAGGTCACACTAGCAGTAATTGGAAGAATTGGGATTGATTAGAGGCCTCTAATTCTAAGTTTGTTGCTCTTTCCACTGCACCCCGATGCTTTCCAACTCCCTCCCTTTTTCAGATAAAGAAATTGCACGGTGGGGAGTGACTTGTCTAATGTCATACAGCTAGTAGGTAAGAGGGATGGACATTCAAGCTGGGACCTCTAATTTAAAATCCAGTGCTATTTCCTGCAATACTGTGGTACTTCTCAAGGTTGAGAGAGCTTAGCTGGAGAAAGGAATTGAGATGATTTCCTTGTGTTTTGGAAAGTGAAATTCCTGGGTATCATTTTCAAAACAAGGAGGAGGCCTAGGAGTAGGGAGTGGGGAGGGGTAGAGGCCTGATTGGTGGGGGGAGCGGCTGTTCAGTATTCCATTCACTGCTCATTAAGGTGCTTCCGCACCGTTGGTGGCCCCAGTCCCACCCTGCCCGTGGCCAACTGCCCCGCCATCGCGTGGGTTCGGTGACAAAGTGGCACTTCACGCCCATTGGCACTAGGACCCGAAGGGCAAACTGGCACTGGGAGGGGGAAGGGGGCGGGGGGAGCGAGGAGGGAGGAGGAGGCGCCGTCGAGTGGCATGCCTATTAACTAATAGGAATCCGGGGCAGGGGGGCGGGGGCGTAGGCGCCTGGAGGGGGCCGGCCAATGGCAGGCGGGCAGCCGCTGGAGCTGCCGGCTGACGTGCGGAGCTTTCCATTCCTCCAGCGGTGGACTGCTGCCGCAGCTGGCCGTGGCTCCCGACGGCAAAGGTCCATCCCCCCCCTCCCCCCCGTCCCCCTCCCGGAGGAGGAGGAGGCGGAGGCGGAGGCGGCGGCAGCCCGGGGCTCGGGGCGGGGCGGAAGAGCCACCACCTATACCCCTGCCTGCTGCCGAGCTCGTTCGCTCCCTCCCGGAGAACGCCACCTTTCCCACCGCAGTCCCGGTTGCCAGGTAAGCCGGGGGTCGCGTTGGTTGTGGCTGCCTCCCGCTGTGCGGATGCTTCCCGCTCCCCCCCTACCCCCAGCGGGCTGGCCGGCGGGTTGGCCGGACGGCTTGGGGACAGCCTGTCCCGGATGCTCAGCAGTTGCTCCGCGGAGCCCGGGACCTGACCCGATGCGGGGCTGTGTCTTTGGCTGTGGCAGTGGCCGTGGCCGTGGCGGCACGTGGCGGGGCGTCCCGGGGCGCACGGCTGTGTGTACGTGTATGTATGTGTGTGTATGCGCGCGTGTGTGTGCGTGAGTGTGTGTGTGTGTGTGCGCGCGCGATTGTGTGTATGTATGTGTATATGTGTGTGTGTGTGTGTGTGTGTGTGTGTGTGTGTGTGTGTGTGTGTGTCCGCGCGCCAGCCGGCTGGCAGGGGGGCGGGTGGGGGGTCGGGGGGCCAGGGGAGGGCTGCGCGGGCTCAGTGATGTGCGCGCGCGCAGTTCGGGGGGTGTCCCCTCCTCGCCTCCCCTCTCACTCGAGGGGGCGCTCCGGCGGGTGGGGGTGCGGGGTGCGGGGTGCGGGCGGAGGGCGCTCGCGCCCGAGGCGGCTGGGCCTCGGGGCGGGCGGCCGCTGCTCGCTGTCCATTTCTTCTACGGCTTCGGAGCTTTGTTCTGCTCGACGCCACTGGGCAGCCGCTTGCTTCCCCGTGGTGTCCCTGTCCCCCGCCGGGACAGCGCAGCCCGTCTCCCCCTCCCCGCTCCCCTGGCCCCTCGGGCATCGCCCCTTCGATCATGGCCTGGAGCTGTGAGCTCCTGCTGGAGCGGGGCCAGCCCCGCGGCGGCGGCAGTGGAGGCGGCGGCCTCCTGTGGGTTGTTTCTCCTCGGCAGCCCTCCCGCCCGCCGCCCGCCCTCCCTGGCTCCTTCCTTGGCTCCCTCCCTAGCTCCCTCCCTGGCTCCCTCCCTCTCCCTCTTCCCAGCATGTGGCGGGGGTGGTGGCGGAGGCTGCGATGCTCTGTACCTCCGAGGAGCTGGCTGGGCGGCCGGGGGTGGGCTCGGGGGGAGAGGGTGGTGATGTTGGGGGGGAGGGTTCGGCTCGAGAGCGAGCTTAGGCACCAGGGAATCGAGATGGGCCACTCCCGACTGTCCCACATAGCACCTTGCCCATTTCGTAGCAACTGCTGCTGCTGCTGCCATCTTTGCTCCTTCCTACCTCCAAGCCCTCCCCCACCCTCTCTCTCCCACCTTAGTGAGTCAGTGCCCTCTACCTAGAGGTCCGTCTTCCTCAAGGAATGTGGTTTCGTTCAGATCCCATAAACGAACCAGCAAGACTCTTAGTTTCCGGGACCCAGAGGGAGCTTAGACAGTGTTTGGTTAGGGCAAATCTGGTTTGTGCAAATACATTGTGTATGCATCATGTGGCCGTGTCCAGAAATTCCTATCCATGCCAGAGGGTGACTTATCCCCTCAAGTGAGTCATGTTTGGGTAGTAAATAGAAAGAAGGTGAAAGAACAGGATCTTGGTCTCTTGAAGGACAAACTCTCCAGTATTTTCCCCCCAGGCTTTGTGTAGATGATTCTAAAACATCAAGGTGGGTGAAAAGGGCAATCACCTGGGAATCAGGAAAACCCAGTCAATGCCTAGTCGTCACTTTACAACGAAATTACTTGTGATTAGGCCAAGTTATTTAACCTCTATGCCTCAGTTTTGTCATCTGTAAAATGAAGATGTGATTCTATGATCATCAGTAATTGGGGACAGAGGTAGAAGACACAAGAATAACAACTCATTTTAAGAAAGATTTTTTAAGATTTAAGAGTGCTTTCCCATGGATTCTCCATTGAGCCTAACAATAACCCTGTGGGGTAGGTAGCAGAAGTATCATCCTAATGTTCATTTTGAACAGGAGGAAACTGATACTCCAGAGAAGTTGATGTTAAATTTGGGCTCAGGCCCTTTGAGTCCAAAGCCAGGGCTCTTTCTACTCGTCCGTGCTTGTAAGGCACTCTTTTGCAAATGAACTGACACCCATCCTATCTTTTGGCAGATACTGATTAGGGACAAACCAGTCTGCTCTCCCCCTCACTTGTAAGTACTGCCTCTCAGGGAAAGGGCATTAGTATGATCTCATTTTTTCATGTTTTCATTTTTCACTTTTTCTTAGGATTGAAAGTCAGATTTTTGATGATGTCTGGCTTGACAGAAGCAGCAGCCACCAGTGCCGCCACAGCTGTGGTTCTGAGCCTGGACTTGACCCAAATCACATATCTCCTGTGACTGAAGGCAAGTTTAGGAGGTGTATTGCAGCCATGTCTGTGATGGTGGTGAGGAAGAAGGTGACTCGGAAGTGGGAGAAGCTCCCAGGCAGGAACACCTTCTGCTGCGATGGACGTGTCATGATGGCCCGGCAGAAGGGGATCTTCTACTTGACTCTCTTCCTCATCCTGGGGACCTGCACACTCTTCTTTGCGTTTGAGTGAGTTCCCCTCAGGGCAGACTTGCCTAATTCTAACTGGTTACAGTGCAAAGTTGGGGCAGGGGAAGCCTTGCTTTCTGGGGTCTTCATTGTAGGAACCTTGGATGGAAGGTCCCGTTGTTCTTTGGCCCTTGGAGTAGATCTTGGAGGAGACAATATTGTGTGTGTTGTGTATGTGTATGTGGTTCCACTGCCTTTTTTTTTCTTGTGAAAAAAAAATTCCTAAGACCCTCTAACGTCAACTCCGATAGTACCGGATCTGGGTTCACCTTAGTGTGTAGATGAAATGTTTGACTTGGGTGACTCTGTTTCTTTGTTCAGCAACTCGTTCTCTGTCCTTTGGTCCCTTTCTCAGATGTCTCTTGTCGTCATGCTGTATTTCTGCCTCCCCACCCCAACCCCAAGTTCTAGATCTTCTTTCCTGCTTGGTCCTTTCTCTCTGCCCCTCCCCCCAAAAAGACCAACCTCACCCCACCAAAGAAAAACCCCCAAATCCTTTCCCTATCCTGTGTCTCATACTTTTGGGTCCCAGCTTGCTGTCAAGTTAGAAAAGCTGGCAAGTGTAAACTAAAATGCAGTGTAAGTCATTAATGGATGACAGTGGGTTATTTGTTATCAGGGTATTTGCAGTGGAATGGAATAAGCATTTATTAAACACCTACCAGGCACTGTAAGCACTTTACAAATATTATCTTCATTTGATCCTTACAGCAATCTTGGTTGTTACTTCCATTTTAATAGGGAAAAAATCCTTAACAGAAGTAATCCATGAGGGTTATATATTGGGCACTTGTGGCAGTCAGGTGGGGAAGATGTTTTTTGGACAGGGAACTTTACTAGCTCCTTTCTCCAAAAGCACCCACCTATTCCATCTGTGTCTGAGACCATGCTGAGTAGATTGATTTTCTCCTTTAGAGAGTAGTGGGTACTGGACTCATTGGGGGTGGTACATCTGGTATTACTGTGCTGAGTAGTGGGTACTAGACTCATTGGGGGGTGGTACATCTGGTATTACTGTGCTGAGGCATTTGCAGGGCCTACAAGAACCTTTGGCTGTAGGCATGATACCCTAACCCCAGGATAGGGCCAGCCATGGACATAGTGGTGTTTTGGACTCTTCTCTGGGGATAATTATAACCGGTGCTGTTCTCTTTTCTGGGTTCATTTTCTGGGTCCACATCTTCCAGGGCTTCTGGTTTCCCCCAGCATTCCCAGGGCATTTGCAGGGACACCCCCCTTGCTGCTAAATACTGATCCAGAGTCTGAGGCTTGTTTTTGTCAGTGACCAGTGTGAGCTTGAGGAACAGTTTTGGGTGAATCAGGGCACAACTTCTAACAGATCTGGAAGGGAAGTCTTTTGAGCGCTTTGTTAAAGCCTCCTTTGCTCTATTGTTCACACTGACTGTGTGAAGTACTTGGCAAAGTAGCCTCTCAGGTAACAAGATTTTAGCCAGTTCCAATTGAGTTTGGTGACTTTCTGTGTGTGTGTGTGTGTGTGTGTGTGTGTGTGTGTGTGTGTGTGTGTGTGTGTGTGTGTGCGCGCGCACAGACATACACCTCACATTTTCTCTTCCCTCACCCCTCATTATTGCTCTTTCTGTCTCTGGTTCTGTTTGCTCTGTCTTTACCTTGCCTCTCTCCGTGGTACAGCAGAGCCCAAACTCTTCTGGCTCCTGAATTAACAGCTGTTCTGTGTGTGTGTGTGTGTGTGTGTGTGTGTGTGTGTGTGTGTGTGTATTTCCTGTATTAAATTTTATGGTTAGAACCATTTATGGAGCCTGTTTTCAGCCCCTGAATAAACTGATAGTCCTGGGCCTGTAAGCCTCTAGTTTGATTGGTCAGGTGAGCTAATAATCCAGAGCTCCAGCCCATGGGTCTCAGTTTCACAGACTTTGGCCTATGCTGCAGAGCACCTCCCTACTTTGGTTCCCAAAGGCCTTTGGGCAGGGCTAAAGCATATAATTAGCAAAGTTATTCTTTGACTGAGGCAGGTTAAGTTGTGGTCCTTTAGTCCGCTGAGATGACATTCTATCCCACCCCTTATCTCTTGTGTTTAGGGCCCAGGTATGAAGATTAGGCTTGTGTATAAACCCTTCTGAGTCCCAGCTGCCTATGTCAATATTTTCTCTTTTGGAGAAGAGATTGGTACCTGAGGGGGAAGGAAGTAAACACAGCAGCAGAGAAGTAGAATGGGGAAGTTAGGTCTCTAGCAGGCAGAAGCCAAGCCTAGAGACCTCCCTCAGGCTTCTCTGTAGGCTCTGAGGGAAGTAGGGAGAGAAGTGAGGTCTCTTGCTCCCTTGTATGTTTCACACCCCTTATGGCTCATAGGTGTCTTCTGCCCAGCTAACAGCAGGAGCAGCTTCCGTGTATGATGATAGTAATAGCTCTCATTTCTTGGTAGTTCACAAAACTCTTCACAGCCGTCCTGTGAGGTAGATAGAGCAAATGTCACTTTTCCCATTTTTATGTATTGGAAAACTGAGTCTCAGAAGTGAAATATTGGATCTGAGTTCAAATCTTTTCTTTATTACTAGCTGTGTGACCTTGAACCTTGGGCAAGGTAATTCTAGGCCTCAGTTTCCTCCCTTATAAAATCAGGGCATAGGTGGTCTGAGATCTGTTCCAGCTCCTGACTCATCTCCTGTCACAGTGATAAGGGACAGAACCGGGACTTGAACCCAAGACTTCTCCCTCCAAGTCTGACTCCAGCCTCCTTCTGTAGCACTATTTAATCCCTGATCTCTCATTTTCGGTGATATCTATAAAGTTCCCACTGTTCTCCCCCTCCCCCAGGTCTTGTGGCCGTGGGGTTTACAGGACAAGACTATTGCTTCCTTAGCAAGGTAGAATCTTAAAGTCGGCCAGGACACTTGAGAGTCTTGAGAGTTTCCTGCCTTCAGGCAGGTGAACCTGTCTAAACTAGCTACATCAGATAGCTGCCAGTTCTTATCTTCAAATTGTCTAGGAACAGGGACTCACCATTCTATTCCATTTTTAACTCTCAGCTTTATGGAATCTAAGTTTAACCATAGTCCTCTGCCCTTGGTGGCTTTTGAAGGGAGATTGCAAAGGCTTGAGAGACATTATCCCAGCTGTGCGTCAGTCCAGATGGACGAGACCACCCCACATGGCTGCTTGGCCATGATAGGGGCAGCTTCAAAAGCGGCCACGTTGGTTCTGGGTTTTTTTTTTTGAAAACAGATCCTGAAAATTCTGGTGGACAGCCTGAACATGCCCTCTGTTGTCCTGCGTCAAGAACTTTTCGGGGTGTGTGGAAGAGTCTACAAACAGTCTTTTAAATTTAGAGGCGAAAAGCTTAGTACTGTTTCAAAGAGGATTTCCAAATCTGTTTTGGGGATGAGCTGTTTGTGAAACCTGTGTACATGTGTATACAATTCTAGCTTTGAATACACAAGAACCTTTCTTGTTCATCTGCCCAGACCAGATTTGGTGTTAAAAGAACACACAACCACCAGCCCAAATCATGGAATCTCTGAGTTGGAAGGGACTTGGCTAGCCTAACCCGTATCTGAACAAGAATCCCCCACGTAAAATCTTTAATAAATCAGCCTTCACTGAAAGACCCCAATAAAGGGAATCCATGGCCTCCTGAGGCAGCCCTGTCATTTTTCAGTAGCATTAGTGAATAGGGAGTTCTTCTTTACACGGAATGAAAATCTGCTTCTTTGCAAAGTCTTGTTGGCCCTAGATCTGTGCTTTGGGCCAAATGGAACAAGGCTAGCAGCCCCTTTCAGGCTTCAGGTCAGGAGGATTCAGAGACAATGAGTGGTTGCCTGTGAACTGTCCAGTTACTGAGTCATCACACTTAGGTACATTCAACCTCGTGTGATTTAGAACTGGCCTTACAGATTGTCTGTAAGCTCCCTTCTTTCAGAGAGGTAGAAATGGGCCCATAGAGGGGAACAGACTCTCTCATTCAAGCTCACCTAATGAGTTCAAACTTAGTGTTATTCCTGCCACATAATATTCTAGTCTTAGGGGATCATAAAATGTTAGCTGGAAGGGCCTTACAGGCCACCTAGTCTCATCTCCTTATTTTACAGAAAAGTAAACTGAGGCCTAAATAGGGGAAGTAATTTTGCCAAGATCACACTGCTGGCACAACTGAGAATAGAACTTAAGTCTCCTGATGCCAATACAGTGATGTTTCTACTGCATGAATATCAGGCCCCTGGGAAAAGAACTGTCATCTGGGACAGTTTTCCTGTTGGCTTTTAGATTAGACAGTTAGGAGAAAAAAGATTAGACAATTGGGGACATGAAGACTCCACCAACTTATTAAGAGGCATTAATGACCACGTGTACTTCTCCCTGAAAGAGAAGCATTTCCGCTGCTATTAACCATGCCTCTGCCCACAGGGTGGCAGATCCATACAACAGCTCACATTCAGTATAGCTTCGATGAAGCACCCTGAGCATAGATGTTAGGGCGTCATCTTTGAGCGCTGCTAAGTGATGCTAAGGAAATTGGTGAATTGTAGTCTTAGAAAGCTCCTGGTGCTCAGCTCAGTGTTGGCTTGTACCCTGCTGATTGAGGTGGAATGAGACACTCCCTCTTTCCAAATCTTTGTCCAGCTCCCCTCCCGCTGTCTCACCCAGCTATTCAGGAACTATTCAGCCTATGATGAGAACACCTTCCTCTGAGCTCATATAACTTAACAGTCTGGACCACTCATACTGCTCTGGGACCTATTTTGTTAACTTTTTCAGATCTCATTTCTGCTACTACACTGTAATCTCTTCCAGGCCAGAGATTAGCATACATTGCTGTGGCTTCCCCAGTGCCCAGATGCACAGCTGAGCACATGGTAAAGACTCTAGACTTTGCTGATTGACGTGTTGTGGTGGGTCTTAGTGGGGACAGCATTGTACTTGGAGCAGAGGGCCTGTGTTCAAGTCCTGGCTTCATCCTGGATGAGCTGCTTTACTTTTCCAAGTTCTAGTTCCCCTGTCTGTAAAATAGGCTTCATGTTACTTGC